ATGCACAATCCAGGAGAAGTTTACTCATCACAATCCGGTTATCAGGTAAAGCGTTAGTAGGACTGCACTCCATTAAAAAGACATTGTGATTGCCTTTCTTGCTCCCCTCCTGTACTCAAGAGGTGAAGAGAAAACGCTACGTGTGCAATTCTGCGTTTACGAGAGAGATAGAGAGTAGATGTTGATAGGCTGCAGAAAGGGGCCTTGAGCTATAAATGAAGATAGTGCAATCTAGAGAGTGCCGGCTGATTCGGGTCAATGGTTCTATTCTATTTATAGACATTTTATTTATGGAGGATGTGAAGCTCAGAGCAATGACCTGGTAACTACATCAGGACAAACCTATCTGTGAAAACCGAGGCTTTTTCTTGGGCAATCAGCATGTCTGTCACTCACCTAACCTGCCAAGTGTCGTTCATCATGATGAAGACCCCATATTCATTGATTCCGTAGTTCCAGGACTTATATATCATATAACAAGCTCCATCTACTACATTTCCCCATTCAGTGTTTATAAATATCAACCATATGTAATGTGCTTTGCCGTGTCTATCATCTGCAAGTTCTCCAGAAAGGCTCGTGGTAAGTTCCAGGGCCTTGGGACGTCCTCCCGATGTGAAAGGCACGATACAAATGTAATTCTGTTGTTGTTATAAAACAACTATAATGATCCTTCCATTTCTTACAGCCCCTTTCATGTCGGGAGACGACCTCAAAGCATTACATGGGATTTACTATAAAGTGTAGTGACTGTGTATATTGTAGGCAAATTTGCACACGGCAACATCCCACCAACAGCCATGTAGTGAATGAGCAACCATCGTATTGTTCTATTGGTGCTTCAGCTTACGTTAACTAACTACCATAAAGTCAACGCTCTTTCACTTTATGATAGTGACCAAACATAACCCTGGCTCACAAATAATCGTGGAATCCACTGTGCTTACCACTACATGTACACTGCAGTATCGTGAACCACTATGCTCCACGTGGAGTCCTGTAGCATAGTGCTTAGCACGCTCACCTCGCAAGCGAGAGTACCCGGGTTCAATTCCTAGACAGGGCAAAACCTTAGGCAAGTTTCCTTACTCTGCACATCTCTGTTTAACTAGCAGTTAGTAGGAATCTGGTTGTTAGTCGATTGACGGATTGCTTTCCAAGGTAATAAACCCTTCAAAAAAACAATCAAAATATTTGGTCGCTCAGTCCACAACTGTTTGTGGGACACTACCGTGTGCAATTGGCTCTACAATATTTTCTTTGAAGCGCTTTGAGATGGCTCAACGATATGAAAAGGTGCTATATCAAACACAAGGATTATTTTGTTATTGTTAATCACAGCGTTTTGCACTTTGGATGATTTTTGGCATCGCTCCTTCGTGAATTTTGTTTCGGAGGAACTCAGTCCTTAACAGCATCACAGCATCTGATGGAACAACAACAACTTGCATTTATATAGCGCCCTTCACGCTGGGTAGAGTTCCGGATGGAACCTCCCAGTATACATCCAACCAGAGTTGGCGACCCTTTTCTCCGCAACCACCACCAGCGAGTACTGTGCAGTGTTCAGCAGATTCTGGGGCAGAGGGTGGACTTTAGAATATATTGTAAATGGCTGTAAGGAAGGGAAGGGAGTCTGAGATATAGTAAGAATAAAAAAAACTTCCCTTTGATCTAGTGCCTCATCACAAAAACGAAAACAACTTTTATTTATTCAGGGTAGTTTCTCGCAGCGCACAAGGACTGCTATCTCGTTGGGAGGATGTCTCCAAGAGCTTCGAGGATATCCTGTAAAGTCTAGACACCAGATTTTTATTATTGCAGATGGCCGAGGCAGCCTAATTAATTTGCACACAACAACGTCCCACAAATAGCCACAAAGAGACTGTGAAGAGAAGAGGTTACTCGTCTTACTGTGGGCAACGATGCAGTCACGACAGATTGCACAGCTGCACGGAGGGCAAGAAGGAAGACAAAGACTGACACTCACGATCTTGCTGAAGGACAGCTGTTAAACACATTCAATACAAGAACAGAAGAGCTGAAAATCCCACCCCCCACCCCCACCCCCACCCCCGTGGACCGAGTTTCACCCAATGAAGCACTTTGAGATATGAAAGGTGCTTTTTATTTTGTCAGCCTGGCATCTGATACATTAGGAAACCCATCACCAGCTTAAGAGTATCCAAACCAAGCTGAGATTTCCAGGCATCCCACTTACACATGGAAATCCCAGCGATAGATTGTTGGAATGGAGTGCGCTCTCTCTCCCTGGAAGGACGCAGCCTACTTACCTCATTCCAGAAAGCATTAGGTGCAGGTTGTCAAGAGCTAAGGGATCCTGGATTGTGCATTGGAGTACTACTGGAGTCTAACCAACTAAAGTTTCATAGCTCGCCATTGATGTTGCCCTCCAGCAAGTTTTCCCGCTGTTTTGGCAGGCTGAGTGGGACCTCTCCCTACCCTCAGTGACTGGTCTGTCCTTCCAGGGCCTGCCGATCGCTGTGCTGTCATCAGCAATACCCTGGAATACTGCGGACCCGGCTGGCTCAGGAACTGGACTACCGAGACACCGCAGCGGGCTGGTTCGATTCCAACATTCTGTTGCCAGGCATGTCACATTGGAGCCTGTTCAGCTCGCAAGGAGATCCCGCTGAAAGGTGCTATAGGAATGTAAATTGTACTGTAAATCCACAGCAGGGCAAATCAGCACTCAAAAGGCAAATTTCAGCTACTTTTTTTTTGTGTGTCCGACACCCAAAAATAAAACCATGGCCGTACTATAAGGAGCGTCCAAACCAGAAAGGAGCACTACACTGTCAGAGGTGCAAGCCTTCAGATGAGAAATCAAACTGAGTTTCTGCTTCTGTGAAGATGGATTGAAGTCAAAGGAAGCTCATGGCAGCAGAACAGTCAGCAATCCATCCTGGGACACATGCATTCAAAAGGAAGCTAGATCGTCACATGAAAGAGAGGGGAATAGAAGGATATGGGGGTTAGTAATAATAATAATAATAATCCTTGCATTTGATATAGCACCTTATCATGTCTTCGAGACGTCCCAAAGCGAATCAAGCGAATTGACTGTATATTTTGTGGGAGAAACGCGGTAGCCAATTGCGCACAGCAGCGCCCCACAAACAGTTGTGGATTGAAGTGACCAATTTTTATTATTTTATTAAAGCAATCTGCCAATCGATTAACAACTGGGTTCCTACTTACTGCTAGATAAACAGAGGCGTGTGGAGTAAGGAAGCTTGTCCAACATTTTGTCCTGCCAGATATAGAACCCAGGGCTTGCGAGGCGAATGCTCTACCCACTGAGCTACAGGACTCCACTTTCAAATGGTACCTTACAAATTTTTTGTCGATCTTGCAAGTTAGGCCCAAATAGGAACACAAGTGTTGAAAATACACAGTGGGTCAATTAATATAGAAAGGTCACATTTTGTTTGGGGTCACACTTGGAGCGTTTGCCTCTTCCTCTTGCGGTATGACTGTGCGACTGGCTATGAATTTCCAGCATCTCTGGTTTCCTCTCAGGTTTCCAACATCTGCAGTTTTGTTTTTGATCTTATCTGGTCAGGTCACAAGATCGTCGGTCACAATCGCCAGCGAAGCCATGAGGATTTTGAACCTGGCCACACGTTCTGACTGCTGTATCTGCACTGCAGAGTTTTGGCTTCGTAACATCATTAAACCTGTGTTTGTCTGTCACTGGGTTTCCAAAATGCCTCAGCAGCTGTAACAATTGTCAATGACAATAACAATAATAATAATAATAATGTGTCAGCCTGGCTTGGCTGGTAACACACTTGCCTCTGAGCCAGCAGGTTGTGGGTTCAAGCCCCACGTTGGGACTTTGAGCTCATAGTCTCATAGGATGATTCAACTGGAGGCCCCTGGGCTGATTTCATCCCCCCCACTCCATTTCATCTGGCCCACCCACTCCCTCCATTAATGTTATGTTCCTGGAAAGGAAACACGAAAATATTGCTCATACAGCCCGCGGACGTTTCTCAAATAGGGCATCCGGCCCTTGGGAGCCAAAAGGTTGGACCACCCGGGTCTAGGCTGACCCTCCAGTGCTTCGAAACGGGTGCACTGCATTATCAAAAGTGCCAGCCTTAGGATGAGACATTAAACCCAGGAACCATCTGCCTAGTCAGGATTCCATGGCACTATTCAAAAAGAGAAAGGAGTTTCTCCCAATGTCCTGTCCAAAAATCCCCAGATTAAAAATTGGTCAGTCACTTCACGGCTGTTTGTGAGACATTGCTGTGCGTAAATTGTGCTGCGTGTTTGCTTACAAAACACACTGTCACTCCATACTACAGCATAACCTGTGAAGCGATTTGAGACGTCTTTACCACATGAAAGCCACTGTGTTAAATGTAAAGGTTTTATATAAATCCTGTAAAGCGCTTCAAGACTTCTCCCAACACTGTGTCAAATGCAAGAATTATTTATTTATTATTACTACTACTACAATCTCCCCTCTGCTTCAGGCTGCATTTAGGATTTGTCTAGTATTGTGAAGCAATATAAGTCATCCTTAGGTTATTCCTGTTGGGAAATAGTATGTGTTCAACTTAATTACTTTCTTCAGCAGATGGGATTTCAGGCTGTAGTGGTTCCATTGCATGGGAGAACAAGCGAGAAAATAATCCCTTTAATAACACTATGAATAATCCTTGCATTTGATATAGTGCCTTATAAGGTCATTAAGACATCTCAAAGCACTTCACAGAATATATTGTAAAGTGAATTGACTGTGTATTTCGTGTGGTGATAGTTGGCAGTCAATTTTGCACAGATTTAATCCACCGAGCAAAGTGTGTTTGAAGCAAGTCAGCAATGCATGCAGAGTACAACGACCTTTATAATGTGCAGTAATAATTGAATAGTTGGAACCGTCTCTTGGCAGAGTTCAGGCAACTCCCCTTGTTTATTGTTCACTCGTTTTACTTGAGTTCAACTCCTCCATGTGACACAGTTTGCGACAGAGAGACACAGTCTGTCTCTCTGTCTCAATTCCATTCTGCCAAAGGGATTTTGAGATGGGATTCCTCCTCCTCTTCGCTCCTCTCTGGCTCCTGGCACTACAAGGTGAATGACTTTAAAATTATTTTATTAAGTTGCAAAGTGTTTTCCCCCTCTCCCCTGCAATCTAGACTTGATCTTTATCTTTCGCTGACGTTTTTTTTAAAAACATTAATTGGGATTTCTGAAAATGCATGAGGACCCTTTGTTTTCCAAATCCTTTTGAGTTTTTTTTACCAAAATGGTGATATTTATTAATAATCAAGATATATTTTCCATTCTTCTGTGATTCTGCAGTGACGGTTGGGAGGTGACTTAGTGCCTCGGAGCCCTCTGATCTGTGTATGTTTCTGGGTTACACAATCACTGGTCCCAATTACTGTTCTTTCAAATAATAATAATAATAATCCTTGGATTTGATATAGGGCTTTTCACGTCTTCTCGACGGTTCAACTGGCCGGTGGGGGTTACGATGTGGTGGCAGTAATCGAGACATGGGTCAAGCCAGGACAGGAATGGGAGTTAAATATTCCAGGATATCATGTGTTCAGGAAGGATAGAGAAGAAAAGGAGGAGGGATGGCAATATTAATTAAGGATAGCTGTAGAAAGGAACAAGGCTCTGGAGGGCCCGACAACAGAATCCATCTGGTTAGAGATAAGAAATAAGAAAGGAGTGGTTACACTGATAGGGGTTTACTATAGATCACCAGACAGCATGAAGGAGATAGAGGAGCAGATCTGCAACCAGATCGCGGATAGATGTAAGGCGAACAGAGTTGTGATAATGGGGGATTTCAATTATCCCAATATAAACTGGCAAAATAGCAGCGCTAAGGGCAAGGCAGGAGAAAGATTCATAGACTGTGTTTTTCTTGAGCAGTATGTCTTCAGTCCTACGAGGAAGAAAGCATTGCTGGATCTAGACCTGGGGAATGAAATAGATCAAGTTGAACAGGTTTCGGTAGGGGAGCATCTAGGTAACAGTGACCATAATATTATTAGATTTAGATTACTCATGAACAGGGACAAAGTACAGTCAAGGGTGAAAATGCTTGACTGGAAAAGGGCTTATTTTGATGGGCTAAAATGGGACCTAGAGTTGGTGGACTGGCAAGTAAGACTAACAGGTAAAACGACTCATGAGCAATGGGAGATCTTCAAAGATATGATAGCTCAAGGTCTAAATAGATATATTCCCACAAAAGGGAAATGTGCGACAACCAAGCCAGCCTGGATGACCAGGGATATTCTGTCTAGGATGAAAAAGAAGAAGACGGCGTACGACAAATGGAAGACGCAAAACACTGAGGATAGCAAAGCGCATTATAGAGAATGCAGCAGTAATCTTAAAAGAGTGATAAGACAGGCTAAAGATCGCATGAGAAGAGGTTAGCGGGTAACATAAAGGGGAATCCTAAAATATTTTACAAGCACATAAAGGAAAAAAGGTTAGTTAAAGGTAGGGTGGGGCCAATCAAAGACAATGACGGCAATCTTGTTGTGGAGGCAGAGGGCAATGCTGGTGTACTGAACGAGTACTTTGCATCTGTCTTCACAACGGAAATGGATGCCCCAAATGCCGCAGTATTGGATGAGAGGGTAGAGGAAATAGATCAGATTACTATAGACAGAGAGGAAGTTCTGAAAAGATTGACTGGGCTCAAAATTGATAAGTCACCAGGACCAGATGGGTTTCACCCAAGGTTGCTGTGGGAGATACGGGTTCAAATAGCGGAGGCTTTGGCCATTATATTTCAATCTTCATTGGACACAGGAGTGGTGCCAAGAGACTGGAGAGTGGCTAATGTTACCCCCTCTACAAAAAGGGGCAGAAAGACAAACCCGGAAATTACAGGCCAGTCAGCCTAACTTCGGTAATAGGAAAACTACTGGAGACCATAATCCGGGACAGAATAAATCTCTACTTAGAGGAACATAAGGTAATTAGAGACAGCCAACATGGATTTGTTAAAGGCAAATCTTGCCTAACAAATCTAATAGAATTTTTTGAAGAGGTGACTGCGAGGGTTGATGAGGGAAATGCGGTGGACGTTATTTACATGGATTTCAAAAAGGCTTTTGACACAGTACCGCATAAGAGATTAATAAAAAAATTAGAGGCCCACGGTATTAAGGGGACAGTGGCAGTTTGGATTAAGAACTGGCTGAGTGACAGAAAGCAGAGGGTGGTGGTTAATGGGTGTTTCTCGAAATGGAAGGAGGTGTGCAGCGGTGTCCCCCAGGGATCGGTATTGGGACCACTGCTCTTTCTAATATATATTAATGATCTGGACTTGGGCATAGGGAGCACTATTTCCAAGTTTGCAGATGATACAAAGTTAGGTAGGGTAGTAAATAGTGAGGAGGACTGTAACCAACTGCAAGCAGACATACACAGAATGGTGGAATGGGCTGACATGTGGCAGATGGATTTCAATGTGGATAAGTGTGAGGTGATACACTTAGGTAGGAAAAATGATAGGAGGCAATATAGACTTGGTAGCTCAATCTTAAGGGGGGTGAACGTACAGAGAGATCTGGGTGTTCAAGTAAGCGAATCATTAAAGGTAGGGGGGCAGGTAGGTAAGGCAGTAAAAATGGCATTTGGTGTACTGAGTTTTATTAGTAGGGGCATAGAGTATAAGAGTAGGAAGGTTATGGTTAATCTATACAAAACACTGGTTAGGCCTCAGCTGGAGTACTGCATCCAGTTCTGGTCACCTTACTTCAGGAAGGACATTAAGGTACTGGAAAGGGTGCAGAGGAGATTCACGAGAATGATACCAGGAATGGGGAACCTTAGCTATGAGGACAGGCTGGAGAAGTTAGGACTTTTCCCATTAGAGCAGAGAAGGTTACGCGGGGACCTGATAGAGGTCTTCAAGATCATGAAAGGTTTCGACAGGCGAGATAAGGAAAAGCTGTTTCCGCTGGTAGGTGTGTCTGTGACCCGTGGTCACAGTCTTAAGATATCTACCAAAAGAAGCAGAGGGGAGGTTAGAAGAAATGTTTTCACTCAGCGACTTGTTCGAATTTGGAATGATCTGCCCGAAAGGGCAGTGAAGTCCGATTCAATAACAGCTTTTAAGAGAGAACTAGATAGGTATCTGGGGAAGATGGGTTTGCAGGGTTATGGGGAGAAAGCTGGTGATTCGGGTTAGTGAAAGTGACTTGTTCTGTCAAAGAGCCGGTACAGACTCGATGGGCCGAATGGCCTCCTTCTGTGCCATAAAATTCTTTGAATCTATGAATCTACAGGTCTCCATGTGCAGCTCTCTCAAATTAAACTCCGATTGGAAATGTAATCTGTTCCTCAGGTTGGTTTAAAGACCCCACAGAGCAAAAGGTGTTTCTCCCAATTTCCTGGAGTCGGCACAGGTCCCAGTCAAACAGAAGGAGGGCAGGGTGAAATTGATCTAGATCTGATCAAGATGCAACAGAATATATTCAATACAACAATACGACTACATACTTATACAGCACTTTTCATATCGGGCCTCACAAGCACATGTAAGGGGAATTTAACAGCTGCATCAATATCACTTTCATTGTACACAATAACAATAATACTTATCCTTAGTAATAATAATCCTTGCATTTGATATAGCACCTTATCACGTCTTTGAGACGTCTTAAACGTTTCACAGGATTGACTGAAGCGTATTTTACACGCTTTCAATGTTCTATGGAGCCAGTCCCAGTTAGCGATGATAAGGTTCAGGTTTATTTTAAAAACAATGATCACTCAAGCGCAAATATCAGTCTAAGATCCAATTGGCAGAGCACTTTAAGTTGTAAAGCCACCTCTGCCCTGTCCACTGCCACCCCCACATCACCTCTCCCTCATGACCCACTCCCCACCCATCCTCCCCTATACTCCTTCGACCCTATCTCTCCCTCCTCCCTCACCGCCATCGTTCGTAAAAACTCAAAACCACCACCTGCTCCCTCGATCCCATGCCCACCTCTCTCCTCAACCCCCAGCTCCACCTTCTGGCCCCTCTACTGTTCGATGTCATCAACCTCTTCTTGTCCACTGGTTCAGTTCCCACCCCCCTAAAAACCCCCATCCTGAAAAAATCTTCCCTGGATCCATCCCTCCCCTCCAGCTACAGCCCCATCTCTAACCTCCCATTCCTCTCCAAGATCCTGGAACGAGTCATCGCGTCCGAGCTCCGCTCCTTTCTCTCTCGCCATTCCTTCTTTGAACCCCTCCAATCCGGCTTCCGCGCTGCCCACAGCACGGAAACAGCCCTGGTCAAAGTCACTAATGACATTCTGAACATCTGTGATCAGGGCTTCCTCTACTTTCTTGTCCTCCTCGACCTCTCTGCCGCTTTCAACACTGTCGACCACTCCATCCTCATACATCGCCTCTCCTCTTTACTTAATCTTTGCAGACCTGCCCTTGCCTGGATTGAATCCTATCTCTCGCACCATCTCCACTTTGTTGTCTCTAACGGTTTCTCCTCCAGCCCCCGCACTGTCACATCTGGCATCCCCCAGGGCTCTGTCCTTGGCCCTCTCCTCTTTAATATCTACATGCTCCCCCTTGGTGACATCATCTGCAGACACGGGGTCAACTTCCACACGTATGCGGATGACACCCAACTCTATCTCTCTGCCTCCACCCTCAACTCCAGGACCACTGCTGTCCTGACAGACTGCCTGTCGGACATCAAGTCTTGGATGAGGGCAAATTTCCTACAGCTGAATGTGAACAAGACTGAGGCCCTCCTGATTGGCTCGCACCAGCACCTCAGCACCTCAGGCTCTGGCAGCATCAACCTCCACGGTTGCACACTACAACTCACCTGCCAGTCAGGAACCCAGGTGTCTTGTTCGACCCTCAACTATCTTTTCTTCCCCACATCCAAGCCATGACCCGCTCTGCCTTCCCTCACCTCCGTAACATTGCCCAACTCCACCACTACCTCACCCCTCAGGCCGCTGAAACTCTTGTCGTTGTTTTAAAGGCAGCACTTAAAAAAGTTGATATGATCACTTTAAGTAGCAGGCTATAAAACACTCCCTGCCATCTGTTATTTTTTTAATCATAAAGGATTAAAGTATAATTTCTGAAGGTCTCTTTGTGACCCACCCACACTCACCTACCAACATTAAGGAACATCAGCACTGAACATTGACCTGATATTTAATGTACAAGAATCCAGATTGGGGGCAGAGTGGCAGAATTGGCACCATATCGATAGCACTTTCACCTGCTCCCATCCCACTACATCTGAGTGCTTTACTACTTTAATTAGTTACTTTCGCTGAGAGTTTCAGCCTGTTGATGGGTGTTGTGCTGTGCACCACTTAACATGGAGTAGTACTATTACCGCTTAGTTTAACTCAAAGCAGAGTAAACCTACTCCCAAGGCAAACATTGAAAAGTGGTGATCTGATGAGCAAATGATAAGGAAACATTTGATCAGCTTCACAAGGATTCGGATCTAGCTGGGCAGATAGATGGCAGTTGCAGTTCAGTGTGCATAACTCCAAACTATTTAGTAGTGGAGCAAGGAACCAAAATGAGACATTTTGTGTTAAGGACCGATTTTAAGAAGCTGCTGATCATAAAAATAATACAGGGGTTGTTTTCAATATATCATTGCCAATCCGATGCATTGCAGCACAAAAAAAATGTATACTGAGATATTTTTAAATATTCACCATAACTCTTATTAATATATTGTTCTAAGTTGTCCACAGCCATAGTCCCCAGTCTGAGAAGAACAACAGGAATGTGAGAAATTGTGATATAGACCCACCGGTAAGTCAAGTCCATGTAGTCATTGATAATAATATTAATACTTACATTTGATAAAATACCTTTTATGTGAGGAGGATGGCTCAGAGAACTTCACAGGATATACTAGAAAGTGGAATGAATGAATTTCTGGGCAAATGCTTTGAACTGTCATAACTGAAACAGGATAGTGTCTCAATGAGATATTTCTTAATGCAATTCCTCATTAGAATTCCTGCTAATCCACAGAAACTCTTTACTCCGCAGTTAGATGGCATAGAGGCAAGCCCCAGGTTGATATTATTTGTGGAGTCCTGTAGCTCAGTGGTTAGAGCATTCGCCTTGCAAGCAAGACACCTGGGTTCAATTCTAGGCAGGGCGAAACCTTGGGCAAGTTTCCTTGCTCCACACGCCTAATAATAATCCCTCCAAAACAAAAAAAAGATAATAAATTGTTCATTTTCAATCCACGACTGTTTGTCGGACACTGCTGCGCGCAATTAGCTGCCACGTTTCGCCCGCAAATATACGGTCAATATACTTTACAGCATATTCTGTGAAGCGCTTTGAGACATCTATAATAATATTAATAATCCTTGGATTTGATATAGCGCTTTATCACATCTTCAAGATGTCTCAAAGCATTTCACAGAACATACTATGAAGTGAATTGACTGTATATTTTGTGGGCGAAATGCGACAGCCAATTGCGTACGGTAGCATCCCAGAAACAGCCATGGATTGAGTGGCCAAATTATTATTTACTTATTTAGTACTTTTTTTGAAGGGAAAAGTGATCCGCCAATCGACTAACAACAGTGATCCTTCTTACTGCTAGGTAAACAGAGGCGTGTACGGTAAGGAGGGAAGTTCTGTTGCCGTCACTCAAGGGTAAAGGGCAGGTAGCGAAGTCAACAGCGATCTGACAGCCTGGAAGTTGACTATTTTCAAGCAATTTCTTAACACAGGGTTCAGAGTTCACGAACCCAGTCCCAAGGCATGTTAGTTTGGTGATGGAGATGTAGACCAGAGCTCTGTACAAGGGAATTTGCTCTAATTTCCTCTTAGTTTGTCAGGTCTGCACAGATGGGTCTATGATTGATTAATGTGATAACATCTGGTTATTATACTGAAACGTCAGACAATCAACTAAGATATATTCCTCTATATCTAGTATCTACCTCCTACTACAGTCAACACATCTCTGCACTTGAATGCTCTCCGGACTTTGATGGTCGCTCACAATATCAAAGTCTATATCATTCCTGCCACAGACTCCCATTTGGTAAGTATAGAGTTTGGATGGGATTGGTGACTTAAATGAATTACTTAAGGATGTAAAGTCCAACAACCCCATCTTATACTCATGGTGAATTTCCTGTAGTATTGCTTTCAATTCTGGTCACTGTACTGAGGTGAATGCATCTTGGAGTTATAGAGGATGGGCAAGTAGATTAAGGCTGGAATGTGAATCATTCGAGTTAAGGTATCTGGAAAAGTTCACACTGAAGAAGAGAAAGATCAGGGAGAAAATCTTATTGAACCGTTAAAGATGCTAAAATTGTATATAAGTTAATCCCTAATAATCAACTTAATATGGTCAAAAGAGACTACAATAAGAGGCCCCAGACCAAGTTCATAAGAGGGAAGCTGAACAGTTCACAGAATCATAGAAATTTACAGTACAGAAGGAGGCCATTTGGCCTGTCTCTCAGAGCAATGTGTTCATTTAGTCCCACTGCCCTGCCTTATCCATATACCTTCCAAGCCTCTATCGTTTATATACCTGTCTATATGGTAGAATTATAACCCCAACCACCTTAGTTGGTAGGGCATTCCACCTCCCAACAACTCTCCGAGTGACAAAAGTTCAGATTGAATTGCTTTACATGGCGATCGCTAAATGTGTAGAATAGAGGGAGGCGGTGGAGGCAGATTGTATATTAAAAAAAATCAAAAGAGAATTAGATAGCTCTTAAGAATTCAGGCAAGGGGCGTGAGAGATATCAATAGCCACTTTTGTTTCCTAGGAACACCCAGAGGGATCGCAATAGTCTATTCAGGGCCAGAAATCTCCTTTGTTCAAAAACCGCAAATTTTGTTCCAAGCTAGGAACACAAACATTTGCGTCTTAAACCCATTTAAAACTGTTCCCCCTGTTAATTATTGCACAAGATTATTATCCTTCTGACGAAGGGTTTTGGACCCAAAACGTTGGTTCACTTTCCTTTCTCCATAGATGCTGCCTGACCTGCTGAGTGTTCCCAGCGACTTCTGTTTTTGTTTCAGATTTCCAGTATCTGCAGTATTTAGCATTTTGCTATTATCTTTCTTGTTGGAAATAAAATCCCCGGGGGTGAACTGGCTATTGCTGGAGGGAGGTTAGCACAAAGCAGTACTGTGTGGATCGACTGAACTAGGTTCAGTTCTAATATTCCATTGAAGAGACATGGTGACTTATTAAATTTCTTTGAATCCCCAGTGTAGGAAGAAGCTGCAGAATCATCTCCCTTACTCTCAGCTCCAAGAAACCCAGTTCCATTTACAGGATTTGGGACTTTGGCATTGCATTATAGATGCATTATAGATTCAAGCGCTCCAAGACAACATTCCATGTGAAAGGTGCTATATAAATGCAAGTTGTGGTGATTGTAGATTCAATACTTACCTCAGCTCATTGCAACAGAATTAAGTTAAGCATAAAAGGTGAATGAAAAATGCTGACCGATTTACAATGGTTTAGAAATTTATTGGAACATAATGGGGTAAAATGCAGTGTTCGTTAACAAATTCCTTGTCTTACTTAAGGAATACATTACAGAATACCATTTTGTTTGCCGTTTTTACCCCAATTTCAGTTATCACTGTTTAGGATTATATTGTTGTGTTTTTTTCCCTCAGAGTGAATACATTAGCCCACACGATGCGAGGAGAGCCTGGATGACAGGGTTCACTGGAAGCGCAGGTAACACAGACAGACATCGAGCAAAGATGCTCAAATACCCCAGCAGCAGAATCCAGTCTCTCTTACCTTTGCCCGGAGCAAGCAAAACCGTAGCATGTGTTGAATCTAATTAAGGCTTACCTCGTTTCTGGTATGTACAGGCACCGCAGTGGTCAGTACAACAAATGCTAGCCTCTGGACAGACGGTCGTTACTGGGTTCAAGCCGAGCGTCAGATGGACTGCAACTGGGAGCTGAACATAGTGAAAAGTGAGTATTATAATAATAATCCTTGTGTTTGATATAGCGCCTGATCACGTCTTCAAGACGTTTCAAAGCGCTTCACAGAATGTACTGTAAAGTGAATTGCCTGTATATTTGTGTGCAAAATGCGCACAGCAGTGTCCCACAAACAGTCGTGGATTCAGCGACCAATTTATTATTATTAATTTTTTAAAAAATTTTGAAGGAATTGTTATCCCCGGAAAAGCAATCTACCAATTGGCTAACAACCAGGTTCCTACTCGCTGCTAGGTAAATAGAGGAGTGTGGAGTAAGGAAACTTGTTCAATGTTTTGCTCTGCCTGGGAATCAAACCCAGGTCTCTCGCTTGTGAGGCGAGTGCTCTAACCACTGAGCTACAGGACTCCACATGTTAATCCCAATGAATTGTTTGTTCATCTCAGCCATGCTAAAATCCTTCATCTTCCTTCCCAGTTTCTCACCAGCATTGATTTTTCTTAGATTCAATTGTGAACTGGATAATAGGCGAGACCAGAGAGGGAGAGAAGATTGGCGCTGACCCCTTTGTATTTTCTGTCGGTAAGGAGACAACATTCAATAACCATCAGATATTTAATGCTAATACAATAGTGATTCCTACGGTGATATTTTTATATCACATTTCCACAAAATCATGATTGGCGGAGTTTTGAAACACATTCCTTTTATCACCTCTAAACTACAGACTCTATCTACCCTTCTCTAATTGCTATGGTGTGTTCCTCCCAGTGGGAAGGAGGGCACAGAATTCAGAACAGTATTACATCCACTCTGACTGTCTGCTATGTAAGCATACAACAACAGCAAAATTATATTTGAATAGAGCCTTTCACGTCGGGAGGACGTCCCAAGGCACTGGACTTTTGGACCCGATCTGGTGGTCAGGATCAGGGCAGATGGGGACCGGGGTGGGGGGTGGGGGAAGCAAAGAAAGTGGAAAGAACTTGTATTATTGTATTGCCTTATTATGTCGAAATATCTCAAAGTGCTTCGTGGGTCATTACTGTCAAGTGCAGTGGCTTTGTATTTGGGTAATGCATGGCAACTGTTTAAGAGAGCAAGATCTCACAAGCTGCTGAGAGATAAATCAACAACAACCTGCATTTATATAGCACCCTTCAACTTATCTGGAGGATTGCTCTCCGAGACAGCAGGAGAAAGTTGCATCTTTTTTCAAACTGAATATGGAGAAAGGACCTCGATTTGACATCTCAGCCAAAAGAGAGAGCCTCTAACTCATGCATCACTCCTTAAGTATTGCTATGTATGAGTTCAAATCTAAACAGCTTGAAACCACAGTCTTCTGACCCAGGGTCAAGTGTGACATGAAGCGGTAGAATTCACATCAAATGACTTTACCGGGCACCAAGTCCAACATAGCTGTTTTGTTCACATATAGACCACAAATCAGTGATGATCCCTTCCGATAATGATAAGGATTTCAATTTCACAATGTTTCACTGTCACTTGTGTAAATGGTTGCACTGAGATTAACTTCCTAACTTTATATTGCGGTGACCAGCAGTTCTGGTCACCATAATATAAAAAGGATATTGCAGCGATTGAGAGGATACAGAGGAGGGCAACCAAAATAATTGAGGGGATGGAGGGACTGGACTACAAGGAGAGATTAGATAAACTGGGCACGTTCACACTGGAGAAGAGAAAGTTGAGGGACGATATGATTGTGGACTTTAAGATTCTGAAGGGAATAGTAATAATAATCCTTGAATTTGATATGGCGCTTGTCACATCTTCTAGACATCTCAAAGAGCTTCACAGAATATACTGTAAAGTAAATTGATTGCACATTTGTGGGCAAAATGTGGCAGCCAAATTGCACACAGCAGTGTCCCACAAACAGTCGTGGATTGAAGTGACCAATTTATTATTGTTTTTTTTTCTTGGGGGATTATTATTAGGCGTGTGAAGTAAGGAAACTTGCCCAAGGTTTCACCCTGCCGGGAATCGAACCCAGGTGTCTTGCCGTTGAGCTACAGGACTCCAATAGCTAATGTAAACCATGATAAGCTGCTTTATCTTGCACTGAACAGTGGAACCAGAGGACACGGCCTGCGATCGAAGGGTGGGGGGGTAAATTCAGAACAAATCTGCGGAAGCACTACTTCAGTGAGCGTGTCGTAAACTTATGGAACAGGCTCCCGAGGGAGACGGTGGAAGCAGAAAATGTTGCTCTGTTTCGAGAACAAATTAGATAGATAATATCTTGGGATGTAGTTTGGGACACGACATGTCAATTGACTGTCAGGATCATGGAAGGCAAACTAGATGGACCTTGGTCTTCCTTCGTCCAGCAAATTCTTACGTTCCTTATGTTACGTGGCGTTGTTGAGGAGCAGATATTACTCACCAGTGCCACCAGCTGGATCTCAGAGATACTACATGCTCGACTCGGGACACTTTTTTTTCAACGCACCTGTAAAGATCCCAAATAAATGATACAACAAAACTGGATATTGCTCTTCCTAATGAGACCCAAGAATGTGGCAAAACATCCTGTCCAGCTTTTGCTTTGCTGTGACAATTCCATCCTTCAAACAGTAAGCAAGTATGATTCTGATTCTATTCCTCTCTATTTTGGAAGGGGTCAGGGTGCTTAATAACACCTACCGAAAAGAAAACCCTAGAATTCGATATAATGTCTGATCACATTGAAACATCTCAAACGGCTTTACAACATTTTCTGCGGATAATGTGTATATCGAGGGTTAACACGACAGCCCTTTACGCCCAGCTGGGTCCCACACTCTGACTCAGTCTGTAACACTCTCATCTCTGAGTCAGAAGAGTGTGGGTTTAAGCCCAAAGTCACGACTTTGAACATCCCTCGGCAATCAGGTGCTCCCCCAGCACTGCACTACAATGCTAGCTTAGACCCTAAATCCAGACTAAACTGTGGGAGAAAATTCAAGTGAGCAGGTCAAGAAAACACATCCCTGGGGCAACAAAAGGAGATCAGAAAAAATGGCAGCACAACAGAGCTGAGCTGAGTTGAGGCAAGAACACTTCAGTTCCAAAGTGGGGGAGAAAGGTTTAAATTGACTTATAAAATTGGTGATGGAGGTGCACTGAGTAGCTTGTCAGTTGCAGTTCAATGGCCACCGAACCATCATATATACAATCAGTTTACTCTGCAGGTCCTGTCTGTCCGTTTTATGAGCGCTGTGAAATTGATCAGCATTTTTTCATGAGTGAGGCAATAAGGCTGGGATTGTGAGGAATTTTGTCTCTGAACTGAAATAACCGTTCACTAAATGTTAAAGGCAGGAACAATTTAGTTTATCACTCGGGGGAAATATTTTCATAATTAATTTTCATAAATTAACCTAGACAATAGATGCAGCAGCGAGCCTAGGTCAGAACGCAGGAAAACATCACAGACCTGAGACGAATAATTGAATTAATTCAGTTACAATCTTGTAATTGAATACATCACTCCCAAATTGATTTTGAGGCAGGTTTAATCTGTGGGATCACCAGGGAGGTGGATATATCCTGAAGGGATGACACAATATCAGTTCATTTAGAAATTTAAAGGAGTCCGGCATAAAAAGTAGAACTCTGTTAATCTAAGGTGCTTCTTACTAAACTAGCGTCAAGTGTTTGTGACTGTTTGTGAAGGCAAACCTGCCTGTTCAGATGGAGATCCCACAAGTTAAAGATCCTGCTGTTCTGTTGCAAAAGAGAAGCGATTTCTCCATCCAGATAAAATGGTTTGTTGACCACCCGGTTGTTTTATGGGACAATATCAAGTAGAAATTGGTTGCTGCATTCGCCTAGAAATGTGCACAGTCATTACATTCATCGGTAATCACAAACCGCTTTGTTATATGTTATAAGAGCTCCATCAAGGATTATTATTTATGACTGCAACTCCAGTGCTGTAGTCATTTCTTCCAGCAAAGTTCCTATAAGCAGCCATGAAGAAAGTGACTTTCTGTAGGAACATAAGAGAGGTTTAGAGGAAGAAAGCCCCTCAGTCCATTTGATCTCATCCTTCCAGAATACCAATTCAACTGTCCTCCCATCACAGCATCAGGCTGTTTCTGAAATGAGAAATGGACACCAAACGAAACTCCCTTGTCTTCTTGAAGAGGCACCTAGTAATACAGACAAGCACATGAGCCTCCAGTCTTTGTATGAGCCAAGTGTAGCAATAAGACAGTGGAAAATGAGCTCAGCAGTCAAGGCTGGAGGCAAGGACCCAACACTGTGGAGCTCAAACCCTTCTCTTTGCACCAAGCACCATAAAATAAGGATCTGCACGCTTTATTTTAAAGCCTTATTGTTTGTTTCCCTTAAGAAAGCTTTGGTCCTGTAAAACTGGGTATTACATAGCAAGTATGTTTGTCCGCTGGATGTAGCTGAACCTCTGCACTCTGTTTTATCATTGTTTTTAAACAGCGAGCTGGGAGAGTTACAGAATCCCTCTGCAAGAAGCAAACCGGTCACTTATCACAATAACAAATAACTTAGTGGATGAAATCTGGGGTGCAGATCGCCCGCCCCCCTCCTCAGACGATATTTTCAGAGTGCCAGACGCTTTCCTGGGTAAGGTGTCACTTTAACCTCATGTCTAAATCAGATGTTTCATTGGTTAACACTGTACTGTCTCTCCCCCCCTCACCTCTTTCAAGGTCCATCTCAAGACCTTCCGCTTTGACTGGGCCTTCGGTCATCTTTCCTCTCCTCACTCCCCTCGGCTCCACCCTCAACTCGGGTCTCCTAACACTAACTAACAAAACTGAACACTTCGCTTACACGTACAAACAAATGCTTAGAAATGCCACCTGAGGCCCCAAATCACTGCTGATCTTCAGGCCAACATTTCCAAACACAAGACCTTGGAAAGTTCTCAAGTTCAGTCTTAAGACAAGGGAAGCCAAGAACTGTGGAAAACTGGCTTCCCAAATTGAGATGGTATTGAAGGTTTCTCCAAGATTGTGCGAAAATCTTTTAAGACAATTGTCTTCAGGCTAAGATCACGCAACATTTCAGGACTCTTCAGGTTTGTAGCCGATCCCTGATTTAGTTGAGTCTCTGGCTGAAAAAACGTTTCTGTGCATCGCTGCTGAAATGTAGACAAGTGCGGAAAACTCAGGTTAAGAAATATGAAACTCGCAACTGGGACATGTGATGTGATAATGATCACCAGTGAGGACCACAGTCAGCTGCCTCTTTTGTAAATGGAAATTGGTCTTATAGCAGCTGCCTCTCACCGCTTCAGGTAGAAGCGACTGATTTTAAGATTCTGTATGTTGTTCCACAGGAAGATCCTGGCAGGACAAAGTGGAGGAGGCTCGCATAAAGATGATGCAAAACCTTTACAAGCCCACGGCGATACTAATCTCAGGATTGGATGAAACCGCATGTGAGAGCCATTCAATCTCAGTAACTTTTTTCCGCTTTTTCTGCATTAATGGATTCATCAGATCGATCAAGCTTTTTCCATTAGCATTTTGTCTTAAAAATTGTAAGATCGTGCAGAACTGCCAGCACGCAGTTTATAGCAGCCGCCACTGTCAAGCGCTCCAGGACACTACCCCACACTAAGGGCGCAAAATAAATGCAAGCTGTTGTTGTTGGTTGTTGCTGTTTATACAAGGATCCTTCCATCAATTTGATGCATCGTGCATATGCACACTAATATATCCAATCTTTCCTGCCACATTCTGGTTTAGGGCTGTTAAATCTGAGAGGGAATGACATTCCATACAATCCTTTCTTCGTATCCTACTTGCTGTTGACTGCAGATTGGATCAGGTAATGCATTTTCAGCAGGTCCTTTTGCATTGAGTTAGAGATGCGAAAAATAATTAAACAACAGAGCTGCTTAGCAATATCAGCACCATCCACATCAGATGTATTTTTCTGGAGTTCTAACAGATTAGATAAATAATAATCCTTGTATTTGATATAGCGACTTTCACTTCTGGAGCCATCTTAAAAAAACTCTTCAGAGGATTCACTATAAAGTGTAGGGATTGTGTAATGTGGAAGTCCCACAAATAGCCTTGATATCAGTACCCGATTTAATTCAGGAGATTGTTGGCCAGAAAACCTGGAGGAACTCCCTTCTCTTTCTGAAAAGTGCCGTGGGAACTTTTTACTGGGAACTTGGTTTCACATCTGAAGGACGGCACCTCCAACAATGCAAAGTTTTCCTCAGCTCTCTGCTGGTGTCAGCCTGGACTGTGAATTCGAAATCACAGACACTTGATACTTGATAGATGAGGAATATTAAAGAATGTGGGAAGCAAACAGAATTAGTGGGAATGGGATTAGACTAGGTGGCTCATGTGGAATAAACACCAGCAGGGACTTGATGGGAAAAATGCCCTTTTCTGTGTTGAAACTTTCTACGATGCTGCGCAAGATGTGCTGGTTACAAAAATTCAGATTTGACACAATTGCTTCAGTGAGCATTTAGCCAACCCCAAACATACCATCATTACCGCTGCATATTTCTGCACAGGGCACGAGATCAGGAGCAAGAATCCTGTCTGATCTTGAACTCCCCAGCCCAGGGACACACCACGATCTTGTGCTTCTATTAGCACAGACTAGGGCTCTAGTTTGAGACCTTCCCGATTCCTTGATCTCAATGCCACAGCACACATTTAATAATAACACCACATTTAATAATAATTGTTGCATAATGGCCACCACCCTTTCATTTGGGAGGATGTCTCAAAGCGTTTCACAGGATAGACTTGAAAGTGTGGTGACTGTGCATTTTGTAGGCAAATACTTAACCCAGTGAATCACTCCAGTGAATTACCACCCAGTGAATGATTACAGGACCCTATTTCAAGGTTGGAATTTATAAAGTGCAGCTGTTATTCCCTCCTGGTTAAAATAAATGAATGAATAGGTGTATTTTTGAATGTGTATGTTCATTTATAATGCATTAATTGCCAGGTTGTTTGTGAATGAATCCCGCTTGCCGCAGGACATCAAGCAGTATTTGAACACCAACTGCACTGGAGTAAACTGTGTTCAACTGCATGCCTACAAGGACATCCGGGACAATGTGCAGGAATATGCCAAGGGGGATGTGAGAATCTGGATTGGGGAAGAATACACTAACTATGGAGTCTTTGAGGTTATTCCCGAGGTAAATCCTACATTCTTGCTTGGAAGATGGTCTTAGACAAAGGAGCCTTTCATCCATTTTTTATCTCATGCTTCCAGAATACCTACTGTCCTACCATCATGGCCTCATACTGTTTCTTAGATAAGTTCCTGACTCAACCATCCTTCCTGATAACCCGGTCCAGTTGTTAGTTAATAATAATAGAAATAATAATCCTTCCATTTGGGATAGGGCCCATATCACATTGTCAAAACTTCTCAAAGCTCTTCACAGGATTTACTGTAAAGTCTAACGACTGTATATTTGTAGGCAAATTGTAGAGGCCAATTAGCATAGAGAGTTGTCTTACAACAACCATGGAGTGAATGACCAATTTTATTTGGGGGATTGTTGGCCAGGATTCCTTGACTCCTTCAAAATAAGTCTCAAGACCCTCCTCTTCGACCGCACCTTAGGCTCCTCTCCCTCCTCTCCCTGCTCTTCATAATCCTTAATCCCAACCCCCAGCTCGGCTCCAAATCCCTGACTGTCCTGCACCTTGGGACATCCTCCGAACATGAAAGGCACTTTAAAAATATAATTTGTTGTTATTGTTGTTGTTGACACCAGGAGAAACACCCTTCTCTTTTCAATCTTTAACGTCCACCTGAACAGGCAGACGTGACCTCGGTTTAACATCTCAGGTGAAGGTCGGTATCTCTGACAACCCAGTGCTTCCCCAGCACTGCACTGGAATGTCAGCTTGAACCGTGAACCCAAAGTCCCAACATGGGACTTCAACCCACAACCTTCTGACTCAGAAGCGAGAGTGATACCAAGCGAGCCAGGCAGACACCCACCAATAAAGTTCCTTGGATTAAAACCCAAATCTAGTCTTTGTGCTGAACAGCCGTATTCGGTGACACACTCGGTGGTTGTATGCCAGTTGTTGAAATCTTACCCTTGGAGTAGAACACCAGTGCACTGCTGTGAAATCTTGCAACATAAAGCCACTATTATGCTCCTCATCGTCATCTGTTCACTGAACAGAGCTGTTGGTCAGGGAAGCAGGTTCTTTTATTTCTAAGATCTGCACTGTGTACTGTAATTAATGTCAGTGCAAGCAGCTGTGCTCACATATGTGGGTCAGGCCGACAGGAATCAAAGCTTCTATTTCACAGACAAACTGACACAGGGGGCGAGGGGAGGGGAGGAGAGAATACATCAGCCTGGCTCAATCAGTAGCACTTTCACCTCTGATTCAGAGGCTGGGTTCAAGCCTCACATTGGGACTATTAACTCTCATGTCTAGGTGACAATTCACTGTAGTGCTGGGGACAGGGAGGCTGCATTGTCGCGTCAGCTTGAGGTGAGCTCAAAATCCTGAAATATGGCTTGAACCCACAGCCTTCCGACTCAAAGTTGTTTGTGATTCCAGCTAAGCCAGGCTAACACTCTATAGGATATAAACAGAGAGCAACACCACTGGGATTTAAAAAAATATTTTTTTTTAAAAAAAACCCTCCTCAGGAAATCAGAAAAATTGTTGTTTTGTGATAACCTGCGCTTCTGCCGTGGCAACAAGATTTGGGTTCTAAGGGATACTCCAGAGGGGTACTCTTATGAGGTCAGAGTGACATACGTAGACGAGGCTCTCTATCACTCTTACTCTGGTTTGGAGAGGTCGTAGTGACAATACCACTTTACTGAGGAAGGTTTTTTCCAACCCCCAAGAAGATGCTTTACTTTCCTGTAGTTAAAAAGAAAAGGACTGGACGAAAACCAAACAACTTCTGAAGCTTCTTTTTCAGGTTTTAGAAGGTTGTGGTTTCAAGCCCCACGTCAGGACTTGGAACCCATATAGTCTAGGCTGACACTCCAATGCAGTGCAGAGAATGTGCTTTGTTGTTGGCGAGGTTGCCTCACTTCAGATGAGATGTTCAGAAAGGGAATCAAAAACCTTTTAGAGTCTTGTTTATCTCATTTCTCTGTTCCTTTTGTAGGCAAAACTGATCATCGATAAGTACTCCCCAGTGCAAATTACAAAGGCTATTAAGGATGAAACGGAGCAGAAAGGACTGAAAGCCGCTCATGTGGGTATACGGAGAGTGTCCCTTGAGACTCATGTGACATGGGATGGGTGCAGAAATTTCAAGGTTTTAGAAATGTGAATGGTTTCTGTATTGAAAAAGGAAATGGGTTGGAAACACAGGGAAAGTAATGGTGGGGATGGGATTGAAGTAACAATGTATGATTTGTCTCAACAACCGTTGGTTTTTTTTCCTCTCAGGTGCGTGATGCGATTGCTGTCATACGTTACTTAGTTTGGTTGGAGCAAAATGTTCCCAAAGGAACTGAGACGGAGCTCTCAGGTGCACATTATGTGAGCAAATTACGCAGGTACAGACCTCGTAGAAATTACACTGCATTTTTGTGTGTGTATGTGTCTGTGTGTCTGCAAACATATGTGCATGTATGTAATATATATAATAATATAATAATAGTAATCCTTGCATTTGATATAGTGCCTTTTCTAGTCATTGAAACATCTCATAGTCTTTACACAACATACTGTAAAGTGAATTGACTGTATATTGTGTGGGTGAAACATATATACATATGGCATTTCTGAGTATGGAAAACAGCTTTTGCAGTCTCACTCACAGGATTTGGCCATAACTTCGATTCACCTCAACCGAATGACTACAGTTGTCTGCTTACAGAATCACAGGTGCTCCAGAGAGAGAGAGAGTGCACACGTTCAATTCTAGACACAGAAATTTCCATATGTAGGTGACGTACATATGTGGAACTCTGTCTGGTTTGGTCACTCTTAAGCATGGTGATGGGTTTCCACATGTACCCAACACACAGCTGACCAAACTAAAATAGCATTTTCTGAGTTTCTCCTGCCTTTGTCACTGATTTGCCCCCAAGGTTAATGATCAGGGTTAATGCCAGTTGTCATCTCAAAGCGTTTCAGAATTTTTCTTGCATTGACAAGATCATTGCACTGACTCAGCCTCTGGCCCCAGTAAACAAATCAATTAGCACCTGATCACTAGGCCTCTGGACTGATAAACTACACGGATTAACTTGTTCACATGCTTTTACAGTGAGGAAGAACATAGCAAAGGCATAAGCTTCGAGACCATTTCTGCCAGTGGTATGAACGCAGCTCTTGCCCACTACAGGTCAGTGTACGGCAACATCGGAGCTGGTAAAACATGCAAACAAGGCGAATGATTTGAGAACAATTCTGATTAACAGCAGTAGCCTTTCACGTACGAAAACATCTCAAAGCAACTTCACAGAGACAGAGTGGTGGATGGGAAGAGGTAGGAAGGGAGTGGTGGAAAAAGAAGTGAAATAGGTTTTTGAACAACAGTAACAACTTGCATTTATATAGCCGCCTTCACATAGGATAACATCGCAGCTTACTTGTCAGGGATGGGGTGAGACAGCGAGCAAGGGAGAGTGCATTCATAGGTGGGTTTGAAGAGATAGGATTTGAAGTATGACTTAAAGACCTAAAGAGAGGGGGGGCAATTCGGAGCAGTAGAGAGGAATTCACAGGAGTTGGAACTGAAGTTCTGGCCCACCGACGATGGCACAGAAGAGGGTGATGCATTTTGTCAACAGCCTCGTCCTCCTCTCAGTTACTTTTGTAAATCAATAGGAATCAAACAACAGCTTGCACTCTCTCTGTTCACACAGCTACCGCGCTTTCCTGTGATAAACTATTTTCTGCCCACTCTGTGCTGCCAATGTGACTGACTGTTCTTTTACTCTTTGGCTCAGTCCCACCAACGAAACAAACAGGAAGCTGAGTGTACAGGAAATGTACCTGATAGACTCCGGAGGACAGTACCTGTAAGTATTCAGCCTTCATTCACATTCACCAGCACTACGATGCCTCAACCAACATTAACTAGCTGTTCAGTAGATTGGGGCAGTCACCGTGAAGTTGGTAGCAAGGATGCCAACCTGCACATCATTCACTAACTACATAAACATTCTCCAAACTAATAACCAATGTGTGGGGGTGGGGCAAAAACAAGCTTTTTACCCTACAACATGAAACAGTCACCCCTCCACATATGATAGTGTGCAGGGGAAATTTCTAACAAGGGTTCCTTAATAAGAGATTTGAGCGGAGGGCCATTCATTCGGTCAATTGAGCCTGGACTGATGCACTGTGCTCTGATCGCAATTCCCTGTTCTTTTCTAGTAACACTTTTAATTGGTGTCTCTTGAAATACTGATCCGGTTCCTTTTAAATGTCGACATGTCATGGTCTTAGCATTAGCTCAACATTCCATGATCTAATATCACTTTGAGTAAAAAAAAATCTTCTAACATTCCTCCACCCACCTGCCCACCACTCGTTAACTAGTGTCAAACCTGAATTTACACACCCTAGTAACCAATTCACCAACCAGCAGGAAAAACCTCCTATTATTGATCCTCTCAAAATGTTGACAACTTGCAATAGATGCCCTATTAATAGATGCTTATGCACAATTCAAGCCTAGATTATAACTCAGCATGTTGTGCTTAATATAAAATGGTATAACCACCTTTGGAAACTAGCAAATCTCACTCAACAGTCCAGTTAAGTTACCAGGGACCTTAGGACAGATTTTTGATGCCTTCGGCTTAGAGCCAATCACTCCCTCACCCTGTGGATGAGTCAATCACAACATTTTCTTTTGGGTCAGCCAGGAATCTTAACACACACAGTGGTTAAGAGTTTCCAAACCACATAGAGTTCCACGCATGAACAGCACCCACACATGGAAATTTCCCCATGTCTGGAATGGAATACGTGCTCTCTCCCTGGAGGGATGCACCTGATTGCATAATTCGAGACAGTATTAATCACAAGTTGGCAAAGCAAAGGCTGGGATGCCCAGAGTCATCACAGGGCCAATGCTGGTGTTTAAACCAGCTAAAACCACATAGCTTGCCATTAAGAGTATTATTTGACAAACTTCCTCCCTCTTGTCCAGCTACGACCGCTTTACTCACAGTTCAGCATGGAGAATGTCAGATGTATTAAATCATGTTGCTACTTAGGGCTAAAGGAGTGACAGATACATTTGAATTTAGAAATCATGCTTCACATTTCCTGCGCAATTCATCCCACAACTACTTTTGTATAAAATCTCAGGGATGGGACCACTGATATCACTCGCACTGTGCACTGGGGAACTCCAACTGATTTCCAGAAGGTACGTGGGTTTGTGAATCTGTTCATCTCATCAACTCTATCCATGGATTTCCTTGGATTTGATTGTCAACGTGTGAGGGACAGTAATGGTAGGATCTGGATACATTTTGCTCTTCATATCCACTGATGCAGTTAAGGCCACCTCTAATCTTTTGCCTAGACTAGCCCAAGGGGTGTAGAAGCAGAAATTAAATGTGCCACACGCCTCGGGATGTGAAGTGCGCCTCCTGTAGGGAATCACGTGTACATCATCCTGAGATCCACGAGGATTCAGTTCACAGTTCCTCATGCTCTCGTGGGACGGGATTGACGTGTTGAATTGAATAGAAGATTTAGGAGATTTCTTAATGGTATAGATTTCAAACACTCCCTCACAACATCCCTCAAACATGAAGTGAAGGAACAATTAAAGCATTGTTTGCTAGGACACCGGGAGAAACTCTTTTCTCTAAATGAATAGAGCCATGGGTTCACAGTCAAGAGAGGACTTCAGTTTAACATTGCATGTGAAGGTGACACCTCCGACACAGCAGTACTCTACCAGCACTGCTCTGGAGTGTCTGCTCAACCACGACACCCTCTCAAGAAAACCTTAGTTTATGAATATAGTTACAATATGTCCTCTGACTGCCCACTGACCAATGATTTATTACTCTATTGATTAGGAAGCTTACACTCGGGTATTGATTGGAAACATTGATGTCTCCCGATCCATCTTCCCCGCTGGAACGATCGGTAAGTTAGTCAGAAGGAAGGTTCAGTTTAATTATGCAATTCCACAAACAGGGACCAAGGGAAGTCCACAATTATTCCAGGAATTTCAATCAATTTCCGCACAGCAATGTCCCACAAAGAGCCATGAACTGAATGTTATATGGAATAGTGTTGGCCAGAACACTAGGAGAAACTCATTCCCCTTTTGGAATACTGCTGTGGGTTCACATGGGCATCAGGCAGACAAGATCCTCAGTTTAATGTCTCATTCAAAGGTCGACACCTCCGACAACACAGGCCTCTCTAAGCACTGCACTGGACTATCACTGCACTAGACCATGACTCATGATCCCTATGTGGGGCTTGAAAGGACAACCTCTGACTCAGATGTGAAAGTGCTACCAATTGAGCCAGGCCAACTTTGTCAAGATACAGGAACATTCAGTAAATTCTATTTAAAGTAAAGCCACTGAGTGTCAGAGCAAACATCACAGCACAGGCTCTGAGAAAGGGAACCACACAATGACATAGATATTCAGTAGGTTACTCAGCCACAGATACCAGGGCCACGGAGTCATGTCTCATGAGTGACTTGTGACATTCTTGTCACAAAGTGAATGTTGGTCTTTCAGGTATCAGAAGGTCACAAGAGATTTGCATAAAGAAGGCCCTTTGGCCCATTTGATCTTAACCGAGCAGAACACCTACCCACAGCATCAAACTGGCCTCAACCACCCTCCCTGATAACCTGTTCCGATCAGTAATTGGGCTCTGGGTAAAGAAGTGCTTCCTGGAGTCTGTTCTGAAATCGCCATTGACTATTTGAGAAAGATTACAGATTGACTGCTGCAGTCGCCTATGAGTACACATTCATTACACTTCACAGGAAAATTCCGTAACATTCTTTGAGACATCTTGGCAATGTGATAAGGCGCTTCTATTAAATGCAAGGATTAAAATGGATTATGAATAATAAATAAATAAAGTGCTTCATGGGATTTACTGTAAAGTGTAGTGACTGTGTATATTATAGGTGAATCCATATTGGGATTGGGATCTAATAACATGGCACTTTCAAACCGATTCCATTAATCCAAGTGGAAACTCTTTCCACTAAGTTTGTCTCCACTGAAAATAGTTTGCATCAAAGGGAGTTCTAGCAATTGGTAGTAATATACTTCTAGATTCCTTAACTAAGGAATGCTCTTGTAATTCTCGTGCTTCAGACTTTATTATATTGGAAAGTCTAACATTGACATTGATCCTGGTTTAATAATTTTACTGATCTACATTCCACTCACACTTCCAGCTCCAGCTCCCAGTCAGCTCTCTGAAGCATTTTGAGACGTTCTCCCCCAACATGTAAGGCGCTGTATAAATGTTAATTGTTATTATTAGGGAACACGCTCGACGTGTGGGCTCGGCATGCCTTGTGGGAGGTGGGACTGAACTACAACCACGGAACTGGACATGGTATTGGAAACTTCCTTGGTGTTCACGAATGTAAGTATAAATAAAGCAACAGGTATGTTACCATCACGAGTTAGAGGTTTGTAAATGTAGGTCTGACTTTGCTTTGTTTTATTCTCCTCCACACAGGGCCTGTTGGGATTGGGAGCACTCACACCTGGGAACTTCAGAAGGGAATGTTTACATCTATTGGTAATAGTCACAGTGAAAGAGATTTCTTACACATCTAACCAAATGTTTCTGAGACCTTAGCGTCGTCAGAAGTGGTATAAAAGCAGCAGGCAGGCATTATGTTAGTGACCAGATGGATCCTTTAAGAAATAAATTACAAAGAAGGACTGCCAGGAGAGCAAGAGACAGCAGAGAGTGAAACACATCATGGTCTTTGCTTTTTTTCACCCACAAAATACACAGTCAATTCATTTACAGTATATTCTGTGAAGCGCTTTGAGACATCTCAATGACATGATAAGGTGCTATATCAAATGCAAGGATTATTATTATTATTAGCTTGAAGACCACTGTCTTGAAATTTCAGATTGTTTGGAATCCTTAAATTAAGTGGAAGCCCATTTTTTTTAAGGACTGTGCAAAACCAACTTCCAACATGAGACTGAATTTAAGAATTGAAGATATTTCGGTGCATTTCGTGTGCAATAATAATCCAATTAATCCTTGCATTTGATATAGCTCCTTTTCATGTCGGAAGGCGTCCCAAAGTGCGAGTACACGTCAGTAGAACATACAAAAGAATTGAAAGAATTAAAAGCTTACGCAGCAATCGAGACAGTGAAGACAGACAGGGCACCAATTTTTGTTGGACTCCATAAAGAGTAGATAAATACATGGGGACTGGACTCAAATTTTATTGTATTATTCAGAACTCGTGTGAGACACAATGCTGGAAATGACAGAGCAGTTAGCACACTACCTGCTCCTGTGCCTTATGTAAAACAATTTACCTTTTAAAGTCGCGATTCACATTATTCTTCCTCTCCCAGAGCCTGGTTTCTACCAGGATAACGAGTTTGGAATCCGAATTGAAGATGTCACCATGGTGACACAGGCAGACACTAAGGTAACGAGCACATTTTGAATGAACCCTGCATTGTGTGTCAAGGCTACGCAGAACAGAGAAAAATCCATGGAGGGAAGAGGGTAAAGAATCAAACCTAATTGTTGCTTTCGGATGGTATTACAGCACCGACCCCTTTATTGTGGTGTGAGTGATGATCACAGTCTAGATTGATACTCCAATACAGTTCTGGGGGTGGGTTGAATTGTCCGAGGTGCTGTCCTTCACACGAGATGTTAAACCGAGGTCCGATCTGTACTGCTCAGGCGGACGTTAAAAGATCCTGAGGCTCTATTTGAAAAGAGAAGGGAGTTTCTTCTGGTGTCCTGGCCGACAATCTGCCAGATAAAATTGTTCATTCACTTTGTGCCAACTTGTGGGACATTGTTGTGTGCAAATAGGCTACCACCTTCGCCTACAAAATACACAGTCACTACAGTAAACTTTACAGTAAATTCTGCGAAAGCATTTTGAGATAACCTACTGTTGTAAAAAGGCACACTATCAAATGTAAGGATTATTATTATTAATAATAATTGAGTTTTTTTTAATCCATTGCATTATACAGTACATATTTGGAGGGAAACCCTACCTGACCTTTGAGCACATCTCTCTGGTTCCGTATGACAGGAAGCTAATCGACGTGTCCATTATGAACAAGCAGCAGGTGAGTTGTGTAAAGAGCAGCTCCACCCAGCTAGCTGCTGTGGTTTATTGTCAAAAAGCATTCACTGTTACCCCCAGAAAGTGATCTGCCAATCGACTAACAACCAGGTTCCTACTTACTGCTAGGTAAATAGAGGCGTGTAGAATGATACTAGTCATTTAGCCCATCTAGTGCATGCGGTCACTCTGTAACTCTACCCTGCGTGAGGGCTGTTATATAAATACAAGTTGTTATTCTTGAGGTGGGTTGTTTATGTTGCTATTTTGATGAGACCCATCATCATCAATGTATTTAAGAGGAAATTTCATGCAAACATGAGGAAGAAGGGATTAGAGGGGTATAGGAGAAGTGAATAAGAGGAACTGGGCTTCTGTGGAATAAAAACACCCACATGGACAAGATAGGCTAAATGGTCTGTTTCTATGCTGTACCATTCTACATGCCTCTGTTTGCCTAGCAGCAAGTAGGAATCCAGTTGTTAATTGATTGATCGATCACTTGCAGACAGTAATAATCGCTACAAAACAATAATTAAATAAATAATAATTTGATCACTCAACCCACGACTGATTGTGGGACATTGCTGTGCGCAATTGGCTGCTGCGTTTCGCCCACAAAATATACAGTGTATTCTGTGAAGCGCTTGGGGATATCTCAATGACTTGATAAGGTGCTGTATAAAATGCAAGAATTATTATTATTGTGTAATTCTATCTAACCGTTGTATTGTCTTGCTTCCAATTGTCGGGTATCTAGATTGAATGGCTGAATAAGTACTATGAGAGGATTTGGAACACAATTTCCCCTTTACTGACAGCACGAAATCTAGTCGAGGAGTTCGACTGGTTAAAGAAGCACACAATGCTGTTTTCACACAGCGTCCTTGTGACATCCTCGCTCGCCACGCTGACTGGTGCCTTCCTTGGAAACCTCCTGTTCCAGAGCATCCTACTGTAGACACTAATAGAAAGCACCACCCACGCAGGATTCACCTCCTCAACGCACCACGTGGATCTTTCATTAGCAATAAATTGAGGGATATTTTCAGTATAAGACCTACAATGCTCACAACTGCCCAATTACCAACCTCCTACTATCTAAGAATTATCTTCATTGCAAAGCTAATTTTCCCTAAAACGTGGGCACTCTATTTAAAGCACCTCCCACACTCCAAGCATCCCCCGGTCACACCCGAGCAGGAATATTTGATGCTTGTGGCTAGGTTCAGATCTGGTATTGGTCATTAGCTCAACGCAAAGTACTGGCCTCTACAGTTTTGCATATGAGAGAGAGATAATTAAACTGGGGGTGAGCTGCCATCACAATATGTGCGAATTAAGTGAAGAACAGAACCAAAATTTGTCCATCTCCTATGCTGGGATCGATAATGGGGGCAAAATGACTGCAATCCTGAACAAATTCCGCACCGGACTTAATGAGTTTAGGAATTCCACAATTTGATCCCAACACTGTATCTACAAGGTAGGAAAGAACAAGATTTATAATTCCCCTTGTAATGAAACAGATCACTGTGGATTACTTTCTACAGGTGTAAAATAATATTTCCCCAGGTTTCTCCTTTATATTCCTAGTAGGACGTTTTCAGGGATCCTCCAAATCCCATGTGAAATATGGAAGAAAAGGATATTGCATTTAATTCCCCCACTCCCCTACCCAGACTATTCTCTCCACAAACAATATGCAGATTACCTTGCCTTGGCACAAGTCCCATCGGTTTCCCGTGGGAAGCAATGTTTGTTAAAGCTCCATGAAAGAAAAATTGGTCACTCAATCCACGACTGTTTGTGAGACACTTCCGTGCGCAATTGGCTGCCGCAGTATTTCGTCCACAAAATACACAGTTAATCCACTTTACGATAATATTCTGTGAAGCACTTTGAGATATCTCAATTTGTGATAAGGTGCTATATCAAATGCAAAGGATTATTAATATCTACAGTACATATACAATTTCTCCAAGACTATATTAAAGCAAACTCAATCCAACCTTCCCTACCCAACTCTGACCACTCTCATTTGCCAAGCCACAGATCCATGAGCCAGATTGAAGAGCCTTTCTTTCGTAGGGGTTTTCACCCTCTGTGTCTATCTTTATCCACATAACCTTCAATCCCATTTCTGAACAGCTCATTTCAGAATAAGTTAATAAGCACAAGGGGGTTAATGTAGTATGTACAATTTACATTTATATAGCACCTTGCACCTCAGGAAAATGTCTCAAAGTGTTTCTATGGTGTAACAATGATCGTACTTTCACCCCATAGCTTTGTGTCATTTCCTGGGAGAACGTTTCCCACCTATTATTGTGCAGGACAAAATATCTCTTCCATTTTCCAGTTTTACTAGTTCCAACATTATAGACTATAGAAAATATAGTCTCGGTCCAAGGGTATTATCAGCAATCTTTTAAAATTAGTGATCCGTAATCTTCCTCATATACTTTGCTACGTGCAATCCAAATAAATTGGTAAGTGATACAGTAGCTGTGATTGCTAAGCATTGATGTACAATTCATACGCTGAGTGGAGCCTTGCTGTTTCACAAGACTGGGTTGACCAGCTTGTGAAATTTAAGGAAACGAACATCTGAAGCAAGGATCTCTTGAAGAGGAGGTTTCACAATGATGCAAAATGAAATATTTCAGTAATTGTTGATGAAATTACAGATAATAAAAATCTAGGAATGTGCAGAGAAGCTGTTTGTGGTCATTTTTTTTATGAGAGATCAGCGGACCGTGAGGGAATTACCTGGCTCAGTCAGTGGTGCCCTAGTCTCCGAGCCAGAAGGATGTGGGTTCAAGCCCCATGTTGATACTTTGAACTAGGCTGACACTCCAGTATTGTTCTGGGGGTGGGGGTGCTATAAGATTGGCAATTCTCTCCTTCAGAATAAACGTTCAACTGAATGTTACAAATTACATGCCACTGTTCGAAAAGAGAAGGGAGTTTTTTCCCTAGTGTCCTGGACAACAATTCTCCGAATAAATTGGCCATTCATCTCATGGCTGTTTGTGGGACTATCACATTTGGCTGCACAATTGACCGCACTCATTTATAAAACTATATCAGCTGTCAGCCTGGCGCAGTTGGTAGCACTCTCACCTCTGGGTGAAAAGGTTGTTGGTTCAAGCCCCATGTTGGGTCTTTGAACTCATAGTCCAGGGCAGCTGCAATGCAGTGTTGGCTGAGGTGCCGTCTAATGCAGGAGATATTAAACTGAGGTCTCGTATGGCTGTTGAAGATCCCATGGCATGACTCGAAAAGACATTGGGAGTTTCTCCCAATATCCAGGCCAACAGTCCCATGGATAAAAGTGGTCATTCACTTCACAAGATCACCTTGGATAAGAATACCCATCTTCTTTTTAAAAACAAAATGAGAATGACTGTTTGTGAGGCATTAATGTGGACAAATTAGCTGCTCAGTCACCTGCAAAATACATGGTCACCACACTTGACTGTAAATCCTGTCAAGGACTTTTAGACATCGTCTTAACACAAAAGGTTGTAAAGGCGCTAGATCAAAGGCCAAGATTATTTATTAAGATTGTTGTTGAAATCACCTGATTTCATTGTTTACTTAAGATGTGAGGGCGGGTGAGAGGGGTTGTGTGGTGCTCTCCTATGATGACGCAAGATGGGAAATTGCAACATCAAACTGTGCACAGTAAACAAGCCTCAACTACGCACTGTGTTCAGAAAAGGAACCACAAGTCATACATTACTGGAGATGGATCAAGCAGGAATCCAACAACACCAACTTGCATTTATATAACGTCCTTCACACCAGACAGCGTCTCCGGACTGATAGAAATACCGGCAGTGGGAAAGTGTCTCATTTCTCAAAGGGCAGCAGCTCAAGTATAAAATTCATTCAGAAAAAAGCTAATAAAAAAGAACTCACCAGCAATTTAATGCATCGATTCCATTATCTGTCAGAACCACCCTACTCTCAGGCAAATTGAAGCATTTTTACAACATCTGACCGCATGCACACACTTTCCTGTCAGTGTCACAAGGCAGCAGCTCTCTAAAGCCAGCTCCAGGACCTGCCGTCCATTTATTCGACATGAGCAATAACTGATGGGTAGATCAAGCTTGGCCGGTTGATCTGTGTCTATTAATATTGAGATTTTTTAAAAAAAACATTTTCGGGAATACTAATCGTCAAGATATTTGTGTGTTTTTAAAAAAATGCTCCTATGTAAGTAGAGTAATAATAATAATAATGCATGCATTTGATATAGCGTCTTATCAAGTTGTTGAGATGTCTCAAAGTGCTTCACAGGTTATACTGTGGGCGAAAGTAGATTAGAATTGCCAAATATCTTTTTATTTTTGCAATATACATTGGCGTAGCTGGTAGCACTCTCGCCTCTGGTTCAGCCCCGCATTGGTTTGTTGAACTCATAGTCTATGATGCAAAGCCTTTTTCGGGGTGGCTGGGGTTCTCAAATAACCAATGACTACACATTACCTGGCCTGGTGGCTTCATCAGTAAATTCTTCACAAAGTGGAAGAAATGGTTGGCGCTTGGCTGTTCAAGAGCTTTCCCTGATGTGTAATGAGGATAGCTCCCTGATGCACTGTTACAGCAGATTCTCTCCTCCTCACTCTACATTAATCGGCCTCATCACTGTTTTGCTGAGAAACAACATGTGTGCAACCATAACCGAACGTCAAACCTGGGCTAAGGGCTATCAATGTTGGCTAACACTAACGTGTTTGACCCCGGTGGGAACAGAGGATTCGGTATTAATGCGGGAAAGTGGTGATGGGAGATAAAGGAAACCTACAATGTTTTTCTCCTATTTCCCCATCAAGTGTTAGGTGTCAGCCTGGCTCAATTGGTATCATTCTCGCCTCTCAGGATAATGGTGTGGGATCAAGCCCCTAAATCAGGACTTTGAGCTCATTGTACAGGCTGACGCTTGAATGCAATACTGGGGGAAAGCAGTACATTGTCAAAAGGCCATCCTTTGAATGAGATGTTAAACTGTCTTGATAATGATAATAATAATAATTCTTGTATTTGATATAGCACCTTATTACGCCTTCAAGACGTCTCAAAGCGCTTCACTACTGTAAATTAAATAGACTGTGTATTTTGTGGGTGAAATGTTGATACTATAAGAAAGGAGTTGGAAGCTTCTCCTGTTGTCGTGGCTAACAGTCACCCACATAGAAAAAAATGCTATATCAAATGGAAAGATATTATTCGTTATAAGGTCACTTGCACGTTCTATACTATTTGCAACAAAAATAGTATTAATTCATTAGTGATTTAAGTCTAAAAACAATGAATGAGATTAACAAATTATCACCGTATATTAAAGAGTTTACGACTGACTAAACAAAGTCAGTATCATTGCAACCAGGTCCCTTAGGTGATATTTTTGTTCTGGATTCACTTGGGGAACAAGGTCTTGACAGCACAATGCTGATCCCAGCAACCTCGGCTCCATTTACTCAATGCAGTGGTTTGGCAATGAATGCCAAGCATGGCAATTAATGAGGGACTGGGCTGGAAAGTACCAGTGATAAAAATCAGAAACCTGCTTTGAGGTGGAAAGTGCACAGCTCTTGGTATCTTTCTGACTGTTGCACGGAAACCACACAGTCGCAGTATTCTTCAGTTGCCTGCAACACCATCAGCTGGTAAACACAGAATGGCTGCCAAAGCACGTCGGAGAGCATTGAAAGGATTAGAAAAGCCATAGCCAAGAGCAGTGAAACTAAGGATCATCTGAAGACAATGGCAGTCAAGAAGTCTTGCTTTTTGCTTTATAATCCTGCCTGCTCAGGTTGGATGTTAAAGATCCCATGGCACTATTTGAAAAGAGAGGGGAGTTTCTCTCTCCTGGTGTCCTGGCCAACAATCCCCTAAATAAAATGAGTCACTCATTTCATGGCTGTTTGTGGGACATTGACTGCAATGTTTCGGCCACAATATACAGTCAAAGCACTTTACAGCATATCCTGTAAAGCACTTTGAGACGTCTTGACGACTTGATAAGGCGCTGTATGAAATGCAAGGATTATTATCATTATTATGAAAGGCAATTTGTTGCCGTTGAACGAATAAAGGAGAAAGAGCAAAGAAATAAGATTCAAAAGCATCTTCCCTAAAAATCATTAAAATTAAACACTTAAAATGTGCCTAAGGTCCATCTCATGACTGGAACAATGCTGCACAATCTGTTTTAACTCTCTCATAATGGAAGAGCATTACTCAAGTTGTTGGACAATTTTTTTGTATCACATCCCTCCAAGTGTTATTGGAATTAAGTTTGAAGAGTACCTTTTGCAGTGTTGGGGGTATTGTTGCAGCATTGAATTAAACAAAAACTGAGAGACTTTACAGCTTTAATCTTTAAATGGGAAGTCCACAAAGCTGTTCATTTAAGTCAAAAAATAAAGCAAGTATGTCACTTCATATATTTTTGTGGTATTTAGTAGATTAAAAATAATCCTGGCTCAGTTGATAATAATAATAATAATAATCCTTGCGCCTTAATAATAATAATAATAATAATAATAATAATCCTTGCATTTGATATAGCGCTTTTCACGTCGGGAGGACATCCCAAAGCGCTTCACAGAACACACTGTAAAGTGAATTGACTGTATATTTGTGGGCGAACGCGGCAGCCAATTGCGCACAGCAATGTCCCACAAACAGCCGTAGATTGAAAATGACCAATTTATTATTGTTTTGTTTTGGAGGGATTATTATTAGGCTCTGTGTGGAGTAAGGAAACTTGCCCAAGGTTTCGCCCTGTGCCTGGAATTGAACTCAGGTCTCTCACTTGCAAAGCGAGTGCTCTAACCATTGAGTTACAGGACTCCACATCATGTCCGTATCATGTCATCGAGGCATCTCAAAGAGCACCACGGGATATACTGTAATGTGTAGTAACTGTGTATTTCGTGGGCAAAATAGTGTTGAGCATCGCAGAACCTAGGGAAAAAGGTAAATTGGTATCCCCTCTCAAGCGGTTCAGTGACTACCACCTGAACCTTAGCTGAATGCAACCACATTGACTTGTTGAAAGTACTTTCTCTTTTTTGTTCTGGGTTTGGGTGGGGCAGAATATTATATAACATAACATGTAGGAGCAGGAGTAGGCCGTTCGGCCCTTCGAGCCTGTCCCGCCATTTAATCATGGCTGATCTCCCAATCTAACTCCAGCTAATAACCTAACCTTGCCTTATCCCCATATCCCTTAATCCCTTTTACAATAAGAAATCTATCTCAGTCTTGAATATGTTCAAGGACTGAGCATCAACAGCCCTTTGGGGTAGCGAGTTCCATACATCCACCACCCTTTGAGTGAAGAAGTTCTTCCACAACTCAGTGCGAAAGGGTTGGCCTCTGATTTTATGGTTGTGACCCCTGGTTTTAGTTTCTCCAATCTCCCACTATCTACTCTATCATGCCCTTTGATGATCTTATAGGTTTCTACAATTCAATACAAATAAATGCAAGGAACTGTGTATAGGAAGTAAAAAGTGGGGCCACTTGGACACAAAAGAGCTAAGAGGGAAGTTTAAAACACAGGGAAGTATTTCTTTCCACAAAGAGTGGTTAACAGCTGGAGCGGTTTACCAGGAAATGTGGTCAAAGCCAGAAAGCTGGATTTATTTACGTACTCAATGATGCAAAGGGAAGACTTTAGGGTGGGTAGGATGAGATCAATTGTGCCAAAGGGCCTTCTTCAAACAGCGCTCTCATAATCCTTTAAGGACATAACCTAAAATATAAGTGTTAGTGCTAAAGAGGCAGGATTCACATATGCTCCACATATAACTGTCCTTTTGTCTCCCTTCCACCAAAGATATGGTCAAGTTAGGCACATAAATTGGGCACATTGTGTAATGGTTTCCTGGTGGTTAACATGGCAAAGTTGGTTGTTAATAATAAGAAGAAGAATCCTTTCATTTGATTTAATGCCTTAACACGTCATCGAGAGCTTCACAGGATTTTAATGTGAAGTGCAGTGACTGTATTTGTAGACAAACATGGCAGCCAGTTTGCACACAGCAATGAAGTTGTGGTCCATTTGGGACCAAGGTATCACTGCATACTATCAAACACCACCCACCGCACACTCCCCCACCACCCCTCTGCATGAGAAACAGAGGCCCTAAAACCTCCTTTTATTCAGTTGTAAAACCCAAAATCTTATTCACTACTATGTTTCACGCTAGCCTGTGGTTCGAGGTCAGAGCTTATTCATCACACACATTTTGTCATCAGATAAGACCCTGCTAGGCCAGGATGCTTCATATTGCACTGAGCTGCAGTCTTAGCAGATCACAGGCTCACCTCATAAAATGCTACTATATCCATCTGCCATGTAACATAGGGTCATGACTGGTGAGACATGGAATCACTGTTTCACACAACATGCAAGATGGTAGTCTGTAACAGGACAATCACAAGAACGTTTATAGCCAGATCACAGCGAATCTACACCAAGCATTGCTGTGTGTGTCACCTGTCTAAATGATAACCCTTGCATTCAATATAGCGTCTTTCATGTCGCGGTGACTTTTGAAAGCACTTCACAGGATTTACTGTACAATGTAGTGAGTTTTGCGCACAGCGGTGTCACACAAATAGCCATGAAGCAAATGATCCTTTTTTATTTGGGCGAGTGTTGGTTAGAATGCCAGTAGAAACGTCCCTTTTTTTTCAAATGGAGCCATGGGATCTTTAACATCCATCAGACGGGACCTCAGTTTAACATCTCAACCTCAAGGACGGCTACTCCGGCAACACATTGCTCTCCCCCCAGCAGTGTATTGGAGTGTCAGCCTCGTCTGTGAGTTCAAACTCCAACCAAGAGTGCTATCAACTGAATCAAGCTTCTGTATTGGGCACTTGCACCCAAAACACTACTGAAAATATAGTACTCTACAATTTACACTTGTATAGCACCTTTCACGTCAGGAGGACGTCTCAAAGCACATCGAGTCAATATGGTAGATATGGTATTAGATATTGTCTTCCAAAATGCAGCAAAGGGGAAACAAAGCACTCAGTGAAGCACTTTACAGGTTAGACTGACATTGAGTTTCAGATCAACTCTGTCAAATTATGGTAATGACTGGTCACATGACCTGCTTCCTGTGACTTCTCTCTCCTTCAGTTAAGCAGAACCTTTGGTTCCGAAAACATTTCAAAACTTTTTTTGTCTGAAAACAACAATGCTGCGAAGAAAACCTTCCAACGCTTCAGAAAAGGAACAGAATCGCAAACCCAAGGTAAGAGGAATCAGCTAACTTTCATTAAGAGTCAAGTGAGGAGATGTTTAGGACGACTTTCACAGTTGATTAAGCACTAGTTACATGGTGCTGCTCATTAATGCATGGCTCCAATCACACCACACAACCTCTCACTGAGTCACAAAATTCAATGCTTCTCCACATCTACACTGATACATACCATACTAGTTCATATAAACAGCAATCGTTGCACTTACTAGTTTAAACAGCAATTCAAGCACTCTGACAGAAAGGATATTGGGTGCCTGTGTTTGCTTCAAACAATGACTGTACAGTGTAGCTGTTGAACTACAAACTCCTGCAGTTATTCAGGTGCCAGATACAAAATTATGAAAAAAACTCCATAGTCCTAGAAAATATTTTTTTAAAAGAATCTATGGAGACAGTGATCTGCTACAAAGTCCCATGGGTTCCAAAACCTGTTATAAAATAACCTTACTGCTATTGTACACTGTACACTGAACAGAACAGAGTGGGTAGAAGGAAGGGAGACATATAACAGTTAATTTGTGGTTGGAATGTTTTCTTCTCTTTGTAGTCAGTCAGGGTGTTGTTCTTTATGTACGTCAATTAACATATTCTTCTTGACAATATATATATTTTTGATGGTTTACAGTTAGGGAGAATTAAACCGTGTTTGAAACACTTCTGGTTTCTGGTTAGCTGATATTTCCATCAGGAAATAATTGTCCACACAATGACGGCTGGCCCACAACACTCACATTGTCCATTACAGTCTTGCTTGCCTCAGACATGTTTCTTCACATCTTACCAAATGCTATGACAGTCAGCTGCCTTCCAATTAGGTAAAAACAGTTGCTTGCAGATCATGAAGGATTGCAAATAGAAAAAAAAAGCACAATCTATTATCATCACAGAATGTTTGGACGAGGAAGGCCCTTCAGCCATTTGACCATTTCTTTCTGCATTACCTACTCTACAGCCTTCCTATTGAAGCCTCATGAGGGTTTGTTAAGAGTCCAGCGTCCTGACCCGAACCACTTTCCTGGTGACCTGTTCCAGTTGTTGACTATTCCCCTTGTAAATCAATACTTTTCAAACAGTGTACCCAGAAATTGCCCTTCACAACCTTCAACCCATGTTTTGTGACTTGCCTTATCTGAAAGTATTGTTCTGGGTTAATTTTTCCTTATCACTCTCAGCATCTCAATAAACAAGTGGATCAGGCTGCCAGGAAAAGTAGCATTGGCCACAATGCTGGACTCTTTTAAAGCAACTTGATGCTGTGAAGGGGGAAATGTTAGGGTTGGAGTTTTTGGTCAGATGGGCCAAACAGCCTTCTTCATCCAAACCCATCCTGTGTGATGTTGCAATCTTTAAAAGCCTCTTTGAGGTGTCCTTTCACTGCCAAGTATCCCAATTTAAGCTGGTCCTTCCTCATCAATTTAATTCCAGGTAAATTAGAAACAGCAGAGTTTCAATGAGTGCAGAGGGTTTTAAGAAACTAAAATATACATTTTTAGCCAAAACAAAACTGTGGAGCAGAAGAGCTTAAAGGAGAACTTCACCGAGAAGAGAAGTAACTTGTGCCTTCAGTGACTCAGTTGGAATGACAGAAATTGCCCACTTTCCTTATTATTTTTGAGAAATCAATTGGATTCAATTTCTAATTGCATTTCATATCTCTAATAACTCTGAGCTTCAAGGAGCAGCTGTGCTCAATGTCAGAAACAAAGAATTTGTCACTCAACATCTCTGTGCCGATTAAAATTTTAATAAGCATGAAATTCAACAGTTAAGCTCAGCCCGAGCCATCGTGTTAATTGTTTTATTGTGGTTTTATTGAGATCTCAAATTTCCCAAATTGACTGCATCAAGTGGAGGAGAGACTTTTGACAAGAACATGAGAGAATTTACATCTTCATGTAACTCAAAGCATAATCAAGCAGAATACAATTATACGATTAAAATAGCAACTGCAAGTTCTATTGAATTTTCAATTTCATTTATGTGATTCGAGAGGCAGTCTACGCTTTTACTGAGAATAAATGTCAATCGTTTTTATTCAATTTGAAGGAAAGTGTATTGCAAGATAAGACCACTTCCAAATTCAAAAGAAATATTCTGGAAATTGCTGAGTGCTGATGAAATGTACAGATCACAGTACAGTATAAAATGGAACTCAGCCCCTCTAGATCTGTATTGATAATTTCATACAATCCTTCATTCTTTTCAATCTTCATTTACAAACTTTTGAAGTTAAAGAAAGTCTGCTAAAGTTACTTCCACGATCCTGAGATCTTCATCATAATGATATTTATATTTGATACAATGCCTTTAATGTCGGAGGATCTCTCAATGTAGTTTACATTTAGACAGTGTCTTTCACGTTGGGATGTTATTTCAAAGCACTTCACAGTGCACGATTGGCACCCAAGCTGGGAGCAACGGCTCAAACTATATTCTATGACGAGAAATGAAAGTAGGGAGGAGGTAGCAGAGGTTATTTATATTCGTGAAGAGAAAGGAATCGCGTTAAAGGACTGAAAAATGGCCAATGTAATACCCTTTTTAAAAAAGGGCGATAGAGCTAAGCCAGTCATCTGAATGTCGGTTGTGGGAAAGGTATTATAATTTATATTAAAAAATGAAGCTAGTCACTTAGTAGAAGATAAATATAATTAAGAGCAGACAGTATGGATTTACGAAAGGAAAGTCATGCTTGAGCAATCTTAACAAATTCTTTGATGATGCAACCAATAAGGTAGAGGAGGGAAATGCAATGGATGTAGTATATTTGGATTTTCAAAAGTCCTTTGATAAAGTGCCACTTGGGAGGCTCATGACTAAAATAGGGGCATGTGGAATCAAGGGAGAGACAGCAGAATGGATTAAAGAAGTTAGGAAACTGAAAGAGAAAACAGTGAAGAGGAATGCAGAAGAATGTAAAAAGACAAACTGGCTAGCAGAACGGCCAGATAGTTGGCAAATGAAAATTAATGTAGGAAAATGCAAAGTAATAAACTTCAGCAGGAAAAATAAAGAAGCTGCCTATAAATGGTAGGAACCTCAGAGGAGTAGAGGAGCAAAGCGATCTGGTTAGTCAGATCCACAAATCTGAAAGGGGGAAATTCCTCCACATTCCTCAAAAATCTTGTTCTGTGACTAACAACTAAGAGTTGTGCTTCTTCCCCTCCCTCGCAAGGGGAAGCGAACAATAGATGGTAAAAGGAAAGGTTATGGTCTGAGCATAAAGATCAGAACCACAGTATTTTGTGACTCACACAGGATAGAAAACAGCCCCAAGTTACAATATTTGGGTATCACCTATTTTTGCCTCGTCTGAACTTGCTGACAGTGGCAAGCACTGAGTTACCATAAGAAAAGACAAGAGTATTGTAAGTGCTCCATTGAGCAAACACAACCCAATATTTATAACCTATGATTGTTTGTTACTACTGGTAATAACGATATTGTATATTGTATATTGATAAAGTTGAGGCACTCTATGATCCTATGTCCAATGCATGGATTCATGTGCATCTGAATTGAACTACTTGTTAAATGTAGAAAGATTGCATTGTCTTGGCTTCTCCAAAAAAATGCCATAAGTGAAACTCTCACCACAGCTAGGGGCCACTTTTATTTCTGGTTTTTGCACATAACCGACAAGTTATTTTTGTAAAAATTACGGTACATCGAGTTTTCTCAATTCCCATGCAACTAAAACCGTGACTATTACAAATGCCAGGAACCATATTGAGTTAACAAATCAATGGCCAAAGAAACATCAGTCCAGGTTGGATTCCAGCTTACATCAAGAGCAGGAAAGGACAGGTGCTCTATTTTGCAGTCAGGTTAACACAGGTTCCATGCAAAAGTATAGCATCAATTTCCCATTGTTACTAATCTGCAGGTCAACAGGAGAGGAAGGGATCCATGATGTGGGATGTGTAAGCTACACGCAAATGTTTCATTAGATAGCGACCACATATTTTAAGACCACATGTAATTCCTCCCGTGCACATGTTTACAAATGGTTTACAGAACTCACATAATGGAAATGTACGGTGGAGTGCTATTCTGAAATACAAACATATTCACAAGATTAGATCAGATGAAGAAGGCACTTCGGCTCATCCGATCTCACCCTTCTGCGGGTTTTAGTGCCCTGCAGTCAGGCAACTCAGATACCTAAAGCTGAAAAAGAAATCTGTGTTCAGAAACAATGTACAATATACAGCTTCCCTTATCAGGAGAAACCCATTTGCTTTACCCTCAGGGTGTCAGTTTTACCAGAGGAAGTGCATGCAATCAATGGCCAGCACTCGATCACTCTCAGAAAAGCGCTCACTCTCTGCATTCGTTAAACGATGCAAAACCTTGAGATCTACCACATGCGGATTCTTAACAGAATGGATTTTTTTTGTTACGCCTTTAAGAATGCAAAATCTCATTCTAAACACATAATGAAACGGTTGCTGTTTTTTTAAGCATCCAGCACACTATTGCTACAATAATGAAAGTCAGCCCTGTTAACCAAAACCTTGTATTTGCCTACTTTTTACAAACCGGGTAATTTCTCAAAGTCTCTTTGTTGCGAAGATCAAAATTTGTGCAGTATCTGCACACATTACATTTGCCTCACCAAATGCTTTATGTAACAGATCAAGAATGAAAGAAATTGACAGAAAGCAGAAACAGCACACAATAATAGTCTTGTTAGAAACTGCTATCGGAAACTGTCTACAGCTTTGCCCAACCCCTCAGACCCTTCAATTGCTTAATCTCCCTCTACAGAAGTCAAACAATGGACTATTCATAACCATTCATAAATACCCCACTGTCCAATACCCACTCAGCTTCAGCTACTACTGAGGGATTCTACCTGTCCTGCGTGTGGTCAAAACCTGGATCATTAATGTACAATCACCAACAGATCCCATCACTAAATCTTGTATTTGCTTGCTATATGCAATATATCCTGTGAAGTGCTTTGAGATGTCTTCCCAATGTGA